AGTTTACTCGAGGACACTTTTACGGGTACAATGATTTTGATTTGGATAATACATTGTATTTCTTTACGGCTGGGCGATACGAGTTTCGGAATAAGGGGGTTGATATGTTTATAGAGTCCATGGCGCGTGAGTATTTGTTTTGTTAAAAGTTTAATGGGTGGCATGTAAACGCTCGTTTTATAGGTTTGAATGCCCGGTTGAAGCATTACAATTCGCCTGTGACTGTTGTTGCGTTTATCATCATGCCGGCTTCTACGCATAGCTTTACGGTGGATGCGTTGAAAGGGCAGGCTGTGATGAAGCAATTGAAGGATACCGTGACCGAAATTCAGGATTCTATTGGGAGTCGAATTTTCGATAACGCTGCTAGGTAAAAAAAAGATAAAAAAAATAGTGAACCTTGTATTTCATTTTATTCATTAGTTTTTTTTTTGACTAGGGGCAAGATCCCAGACGCATCTCACCTCGTCTCGGACCAAGACTTTGTCCTCCTCAAACGCCGAATCTTTGCTCTAAAACGGGACTCACTCCCCCCGATCGTGACGCATAACATGGCCGATGATAAAAATGATCCCATTTTGAACCAAATGCGACAAGTGAAGCTCTTTAATGCTCCCGAGGATCGTGTGAAAATGATTTTTCATCCAGAGTTTTTGAGTTCGAATTCTCCGCTTTTGGGATTGGATTATGAGGAGTTTGTGCGTGGGTGTCATTTAGGTGTTTTCCCTAGTTACTATGAGCCTTGGTACGTTTCATTATCTTGATTTGTTAGCGAACATATAGTAACACTTTTTTTTAGGGGTTACACACCCGCAGAATGCACCGTGATGGGCGTCCCATCCATCACGACCAACCTCTCTGGTTTCGGTTGCTTCATGGATGAAATGATTTCACACCCACCCGACTATGGAATCTACATTGTAGACCGCCGTCTCAAATCCGTTGAAGAATCCTGCCAACAACTCGCAGACTACATGATGGACTTTTGTCAAAAATCGCGTCGTCAGCGTATTAACCAACGAAACCGTACCGAACGCCTCTCGGACCTCCTTGATTGGAAACGCATGGGATTGGAATACGTTAAAGCGCGATGGGTCGCGATTCGACGTAAATGGCCCGACATTGTCGCCCAACATGAAACCGATTTAGATTCCGATGAATATGGAGCGGAATTACAGTATGGATATGAATCTGATGCGAACCCTTCTGGATTACAACGAGAGGATTTGACGAATTTGAGGTATCATCAAAAAGTCCCGCGTCCCGCTTCTGCGCCTGGATCTCCTAGAATTCGGGAGCGGATTGATGAGGATGAGGATGTTGTTGATGGTACCGGGGGCTTATTTGAGGATATGGATCCTGTTGGGTTGATTGAGGGGTTGAAGGCTTTGGGTGTCAAGGGGACCGCCAAGGGCTATGTTCCGCCTGTGACTGAGGGTAGGGCGTCGAGTACGGGGGATTTGAATGCGAATGATCATGGTAGCAAGTAAGAAAAAAGACCCAAAAAAAAAAAAACAGCGAGACAGATTTGTGGTTTGTGTGTTTTTTTTTGTCTTCTTGTCTTCTTGTCAGATGCAATGAAAATCCTTTTAAAAAAAAAAGAAATACAAAAGAGATTTGGATAAAACTTTATACACATTTTTTATACACATAAAAACAGTTTACAAGTATCGCCCCATCCATCCAACGAATCCTGTACTCTCAAAAATAAAATAAAATAAAAAAGGGCCCTTACTTAGAACGGTAAACTCCAACTCCTCTTTTTGACCCTTCCCCCATTCGTATCCTTGACCTCTCTCAAAAACTCTACAACACACCCTTCATAACATAACCCAGGATGCACCACAACCGTCTCCAAAAACTTTTGAAAAGCGACAAGTCGGTCTCCAACAACTTTGGACGAAAACCGATCCAACCATCTCTTTTTCGGAAAGTGTGTACAAAGTAATGTAGGATACATTTTACTTAGTGCCGTGTACAATGCCCGGAATTCTCGATAGCGTTTATAAATCGTGTAGGATTTCGCTGTGGGGTTTTCGTAGGCTGTGATATGGGGGCGTAAGAGTGTGATTGTGATTTTATAGAGTGTGTGACGGGGGAGGGTTGTCGATGGTGTTGGATCGGATATGTGGGTGTAGATGCCGAGGTGGTAGTATCGCGGTGGGACGGATGAAGAAGGCGGGAGGGGGAGAGTGGAGAAATAGTAGTTTGTGGATGGGGGGTCGTCAAAGATGGGGGGGAGGGTGTCAAAGGTTTCAGAGAGGTGATCGTCTGCTAGGCTTTCTGCTAGGCTTTCTGCTAGACTTTCTGCGAGGCTTTCTGAGATGCTTTCGGCTAGACTGTTTGATTCGATGGTGGTTTCGGAGGAATAGATACTATCGGTTCCAACGCCGTAGGACCAGCCTTTGCGTTTCCGAATGTAGAGGTCGTCATATAGATATGTGGATTCAAAGCTTGTTCGGCTGTGCGTGTCGGTTGGGTCGTGGGGAGTAGTTGTGATCATGGTAGTGGCGATCGGGGTTGTAGAGGTCGTGA